TTCATTTAAATATATCAATTTTAACTTAAAAATTAACCTACCTTTATTGTTAAGTGAAAAAAACCACCGTTTTAGGTAAAGTTTTTGAGTTGATTTTTCTCGAGTGCTAAATAAACAAATCGCTATTTACAATGATACCAGCTCTGTTGACGTGTATTTAGCTGAAATTGGCCTGTCGCATATATTGTTCTTTAATGTACAATCCATCCCACTGGTATAACTTTAGAGTAGATTACATGTAACTATAAATGTTGTCGTAAATACGTGAGCGTGAGTTAAGTAAAATCTTCGCACACATAGAATATTCGAAACATGTAGTTGTCGCATGAAAATACTCGCTTAATTGTGCATGAACCTTGTGTGTACATTCGATGTTTTGTTCGGTTGCTTTTATAGATTTCTACCACTGTCACTGTAATTAAAATAGTAAGTTTGTGTAGTCCACCCTGTTGAGATACATTTTCAAATCAACTGTAGGTTGGAATTCTGTTGGTAAAAATTGTCGAAGAAATCTGAGAAAACTGGCATGTAGCACCGGGCAGTCGTGCTACGTTCCATCTCGCCGATTTCAACGAAACTTTGCCAGGTTAAAGGATCTACCCCAAAACTAAAAAAGACAAACTGGTTTCTGTTTTGGTTTTTTCCGGCGGGATATAGACCACCCCCCCTCCGGTTTTTCTTGATCCTTGATTAATGTCCACCTCAAGTATCAGTCAATTTGATTGACGGCTTGTCAATCAACAGAGGCAAATAAACGACTGAGTTTTTAGACTTTTCGATTCATCCAGATATTTGACAACTTTGAAAAGTGAGATGCAAAAATCTTTATCTTTTTCTAGCTTAATAGCTGTTGTACCCTCTCCTGCAGTCTTTGTCTAAATTTGCAAGGTCACTCCTTATCTTCTGCCTTGTTAGAGGCGGTTGCCTTACTGGTTTCCTCCCCTGTCCAGCTCATGTCAAGGAGATAATTCTTTGCTTTCTGAGAAAACGTGAATGAAAGTGATCCTCGCAGTAATGTGCACTACTTGGGTAGTAGTTTTCAGGCCTTATTTTCACTACTGCCCAAGTAGTGCACATTACTGCGAGGATCACTTTCATTCACGTCTTTATCCGCAGTTCAAATATATGACTTTCACATATTCTTAACTTTTTTTCTGAGAAAAGGTGGCTGGTTTTTGTGTTTTCCGAAGAGCCCATGCAAAGTCCATTTGGCAAGTTAGGAATGTTTCGTCAGAAGTTTACCTGAGGTCCGACCTTGAACGTAGCCACCCCCTTTAAAATGGCAAGCCGGTCTTCGTCCATTTTCTCTTGATCTTATCATAGGCGGATTTTTTTGTCAGCTTCACTGTGTTTGCCTTTGTTAGGGTGTTTTTGGATGGCAGCCAATGACTGAAACGTCTTGATACATCCTTCCTCTTAGCAAGAATATCTCGCTTTCTTGTTCTGTCTGTGACGGATTGGATATAATTCTCGCGATGACCCGCGTTCAAGGATCTGTGCACGTTGCTGATAACCACCCACTTCTATGATTAGTTTTCTGAAGGTTTCTGATGTGATGAACCTAGTGAGACCCTGAGGTGCTCCAAACTGTGCCAGTTGGTCTGCGCTATAAACTTGTCGCAGTTTTAGAGTCAGAGGGAGAATCGCCCACCTCTATTTATGTGAGCGTCTCTACAGTACCTGCGTATCCCTAGCAATCATATGATATAAAGTTCATTTCAGTCACAAATCATTAGTTAGGAAAACTGATGTTCAGATAAGCGCTCTTCTTGCTCTTCTTCCTTATTAAGATAGCAGTTACGGTACGCGTTCTATTAGGTTTACAGTCACCTTGCCACCAGGAAGACTCGCCACCAGCTTTGATTTCTTCTGCCATCTTCAGATTCACCTGTCTCTCCACTTTTCGCCTCCGATTTTTATGACGAGGATACTGGCATTTACAAACCCGAAGGTCTGAATCTCATACTAAGTTGTGCACGACATTTGAGGCATAATGTGAAATCGCGGCCTTCGTAATCTCCAAATAAGCCAATACGCGCTAGAATAAGCTTCTTTTCAGACGAAACGCATGTTTGGGATACATTGACGTCTCTCAAATGTTTTTTTTTTATGCTGTACACCCACGAGTTTAGAGGTGTGAACTGTTGCCGTCCCTGGCCAGCGCGAGAATCGAGAGCTTTTCAGACACTCGATTTCTTATACGGCATCACTATGAAGACGTAATACAACTGACACACCTACACTACATAGGATTAATAATGTCTGTTGCGCTGTTGCGAGAGGGAGGAAAATATTACCCGCAGTGTAAATTCTTTAAGAGTTTCAGAGACTTTTCAGAGATGTCTATCTTCGGCTGTCACAAAAAATTGACCCTCTCTTAAATTTACTGGGAAAAATGAACTGACAAACTCCTTACAAACAAATTTACTATTTCCGCGGGCTGTTGTAAAACAGGTCATAAATTGACCAGTGAATAAAATATTTTGAAATATCGTTCGGAATTTGCCTTTTTTTGCGTGCAAATCAAGGGTAGACAAAGTTTATAAGACATTTGACAAGAATTTCATGGGGTTCACCTCGATCGTTTTCGTCGGTTAGAGTCAAGACACACCAAGCTAAGTGACATCGCCCTCCAGTAAAATAATTTTCCAAAGAATAAATATGGCAAGCGTGGGGAAACGCACATTTTTTTTCATTATTGTGATCAAAGCCCGCTGATGTACCTAAATTGGTACTTAAGGTATCAAACCATTGATTATGACGGGGTAAGCTTAATTTTTTTGTCGAGGTCGACTTGACTTCACTTTAAAAGCGTTTTTGAAACAAACTAGTGAGCATCACCGCACGAACTAAGAAAGTAAAAACTTGTATTTATCTCCCACGCATTTTGTCTGACAATAGTAGACTTCATCAAGGAGTTCTACAAGTAGGGTAAATAAGCTTGCTCATTTACAAATAGTAAATAAGTTGTCTCTTTACTATTGAAGCCAGTGGATATAATTCGCCAGGTGCGCCTACGGTGTTATACATGCGTGACATTTTTCGGACGTTACATGTACGAGTACGTAATCTGTTTGAGGGTCACAGATTTAGGGTAGATATTTGACCCCTTCGACATCACGTAATGTCTCTAGTTTACAGAAGTCTTAGAAAGCTTCATTACTTGGATTTGCCTTCTGCGCGTAGAAGGCTACAAGCGAATTTTTCGGGTGTAATTGCTTTTGATTTCTCAACTGATGTTGTCGCAAACACAGCTTTTGGGAGTCACGAAACAAAAAAACTTATTGGGACCTAGTTTCATGTACTAATGGAAGTAAATGGCAAATAAAAACATACTCTCTTGAGCAATAAAGTTATAAATAACAGGGGCTCTTTGAAACAAATAGTGATAGAAAAGGTTTCAGTTCTGGTCAATATTGACTTTTTATATCCTACTTCCAAATCTGAGGGAACGCGCCCAGGGAATAAAAAAAAACATACATGTCTGATAATGCAAGGAGGAGAATAAAAATTCAAATAAAGGAAAAGGAGAAAACATAGAAACCCGTGTTTCAGCGCGCAGATATCTTTTGAGCCAGACCTACACACCTAAGCCCGACACCACGCAAAGAAACTCGAAAGAGTGCTGTATATGAACTTACTCGCACGTGCACGCAGGAAAGGCCATGACAATCAGCGAAAATAAAGGCAAATGCAGATGATATTTGATATTTCATAAAACAGGCAAATAAGATGAAAGAAGGATAAAGAACTTTCTGGAGGTGTCTTCTTAAAAAAAAAAAAAAAAAAAAAAAAAAAAACAATTTTTACTTCTCATGAAAGGTCACGCAGTCACGCTACAAATACTATTTCTACTTGGAATTTCTTGATGGTGGAAAGTGGAAAAACCATTTTCCAGTCTTATTTTCTGGAAACATGGCGCAGTTAATGAATTTTATGGGGCTATTGATATTTCCTATCAAATAAGGGGGACAGAGTTTCCAGTCATCCGCGTTCTGGAAAAGCCGAAATTGTTATACTCGGGAACTTGTACGTCAACAAGCACGCAACATGTGAATTTAAAATCTCCTCTTGTTACAGTTTCCTTATCGTGAACTGTGCGATAATGATAATAAACAATCAAATTGTAGAATAATGAATGTTTTGGTTTTGTACAAGTGCCCTATTTCCTGATTTTAGCAAATCTTTAAAGTAATAAACGACAGAAGAAAGAAACGCTACGATTTTCCCATCGAATTTTCAGCTAAAAACACGTCAACAGAGCTGGTATCTTTGTAAACAGCGATTTGTTTATTTAGCACTCGAGAAAAATCAACTCAAAAACTTTACCTTAAACGGTGGTTTGTTCACTTAACAATGAAGTTAGGTTAATTTTTAAGTTAAAATTGATATATTTAAATAAATCAAAACTGAAGTAGAGACCAAACACGTCGAGTTTTGTCCCAATAGCGTGCGATTTGCAGTAGGAGTACAGCAAGAAAATAGCCTAACTCCGTGAAAATGCATGCTATATATTTTGGTCTGGCGCGCTCGCTTTTCACGGGCCAAAAATAATATTTTTACATGTTAAACACGAATAATTTCTCGTTGAAAAGAGCTCTTTATTTTATGTACATTCATATACCCTCGATGTTATGATCGTCTGAAATATAGCAAAATTCAGCGTACAAACGGAATAGAAAATATAGTGTACTTTACGCGGGTGGTTACAAACGAAAGAAAGTACAGTTGGAGATGAAATATAGTTGCAAAGCTACTTCAAGAGAAGAAAAAAAAAACTTATGAAGAAATCAATCCAAGATAATTTTTCGTTGTCTTGTACGAGCGTTGTGAAAATGCACTGAAAGCCCAATAGAAATTATGCAAATTAGGTACGTTTTGGCCGATTTCGAACTTTCGTATTTTTTTCCAAAATAAAAACTCGCTGGAACTTTTGAATATTATTTTTGAAAACGATTCAACAAAAGGGTCTTTTGGAGCAAATAAAAAAAAAAGTTGAATTTTTGCTTTTGTCGCCGGATTCTCGAAAATTACTGACAACCACTCTTATTGCACAAAGATCTTTGATACATAAGGGAACGTTTCTAATCAAGAGTATCACCTGTGAATGACCAAAAAAGAAAAATCATTTAAATTTTCTTGCATATTCTGCAACACTGCACAAAGATTCACGACGGATTTCCATGATGAAAAACATCATGGAAGCCTCAAAAGTGCAGTAATACAGCGACAACCGGTTGCTCTCCAAAAATAATTAGACAAAACTCAGTTTGTAACAACAAACAACAACAACAAGTTTGTTAAGTTTGCAGGAAAATCTTTTTACAATAATCACCTCCTGCAGATAGCGAGCTAATCTAGGCAGGCGGTGTTAAGGACATACAACACGAATTACAAAAACACGAATTATGCGAATTACTCGATTTTGCATACATTATTTGACAAAAGAGGGAAAAGGTGATAAAAAGTAAATTAATATATTATGTTTGAATTATAATTAAGATGCCTTTTTTATTTCAGAAATAAGAGTTTGTGCAAACTAGCCTAAATGTTTTTTTACATTCGTCATTTTGTTCCTTTGCGGCTTATTTTTGTCTTCTATCACGCTTGGCTCAGAACCAACCTCGGAGAAAATGACTCCTTGTGATGGAATAATCAAGGGAGACACTATCATGTACCTCTTGGTCGAAGGAGTGAAAATGCTGAAATGTCGATATAAAAACAATTACAGGTAATTACAATGGCTTCGACTGCTGTGTACAGACAAGTACACATATATTCAGGTGCAGTACAACCGAACGTTTAAGGTCACCTCAGAGGTTTGCTCATGTTTTCATTTGCCAAATTCGCTCAAATTTCCGAATTTTGTGATCATAACTTTTCAACAGATTAACTGCACACCTACATAAAGCTCCAGCTCGAACGCACTGTTCGGAAACTGTCTTCATCTTTGAGGTTACCAGAGCGTCGAAATAGATGACTTAATAACTAAACTTCTCATTTCAGCAAGAACTCACAGATTATTCTTTTTTTTTTTCTTCCGCCAGAGCCAAGAAGGTGACTCACAAGATGCCCCCGAGCCATTTTTTGGATCTCCGCCTTGTCAGAACCAACCTGGATAAAGAAGGTTTTAAGTTTCAACTGGAAGAATATGCTGTGACAAGAATCCTCGAAGCTTGAGTATTACAGGAGAGTCACTATCATTGTGAATTTCAACATTGCTTGTACAACAACATAAGATGAATAAAGAAGAGCGTTTTCAATCACAAATGTACGTCGGTTCCATGTTTTTAAACTTTCGACTGATTATGAGGAGTTATGAAAGGGAAAGAACCAAATCCCTGCCGTTATTGTTCGTTGCTTGCAGAAAGTGCGTAAAGTTCGCTTCACAGTTGTCAAAGTCCAAATTTTTTCTACACTGACCCATGGTGATTACATAATTTTGATTTCAACTTTATAAATCACTTTACTTTTCGACCTCCAGATACTTGCCCAAGAAAAGATAACATGAGGTCAAGGAACTTAAAACTTCCTACCCGTAAACACTAAATTGATTCATGCAGCTCTCCATGAATAAACTCTCCCCTCGTTGGATCAATTGTGTGGGATGACCTCCATCGTTGAGCCAAGATTCGTAATTCCTTAATAAAGTCAATTCACAAAATTCCCCGCTTCGGCCAATAAGATTTTACAATTTTGAACAAGACAAAAACCTTGGGTATGGAACAAAGGATATTACATGGCCGCACAGAGATAAGAAATTTGTCTTCCAGTGTTTAAAAATATTTCACGAGTGAGCGAACATGTTATCTTTACCGTGTGAAGGTATCACTTTTCGCGTGAAAGCGTATAATTACTTGGTATTTCATTGGTGTTTTGTATCATCGGTCTCGTCGAGGTATTTCATTCTTTATTCGATACAAATCTCGCTCTGTCTCTACTTTTAGCTTGGCACCAGCTTTAACCGAAGTGCAAACGTGAAAGCCTGAATTTTAAAAGAATGAAATCTAATTAAACGAAACCATATTTTTACTCATCATCGAAGTATTACATTTTTATATCTCCAGTTTTACTAATGTCTTATTGTATTGCTTTTAATGAAAATATCTTTTATTTTATGTTTTGTGCAAGCGTGTTTTATTCTTCGCGGTGGTTCGTTGCATGTGCAATATGCTCTAGACCAAAACTTTCGAAAAAAGTTTCTACTTGGGAAGATCTTTTTCAATATTTCCAATTTAAATCGAGATGTAACACTTAAGGTCTCTTTAAGAGCGGTCCAGGGCATTTCGCATGGGAACAAAGTTTTCCCTCAAACTTTTCCCAATAAATTATCGTTGGTAGCCGGTAAATAAAACCACATTATTTTCTCTCGATGAGCTCTCCATAGTCAAAGCTGCAAGAGGCCCTTTTTTGACCTCTTGCGACATCGAAAACTTCAATAGTTGAAAAGCCCGTGGCCCAATAGTTGAAAAGCCCGTGGCCCACACTGCAAAAATCTTTTGTATTCTTAAACTGTGTGATATGTAAAGTGATTCGCGATTTTTTCGCCTACACCACAATCGGTCACATCGGTCAAAACCTCTAACATCTACATGTTTACAAAAGCATTTTTTTATGTCATACACGCAAGGCGAGATACTAGATAAATAAACTTGGAGAGAGTAATTTGACAGCAATGTTTACGCCGATGCAAGATAACATTCCTTCTGTTTTTGACATTTATAAAAATTTTCAAAGACCTTTTGTGTTGTTGATATAAAAAGAGCAGGCATCGATTTTCGCCCTTTTATCCCTAAATAGAGTCAGAGTTTAACAACCTTTGCAACACATCCCCTATCCGAAAATTAAGAGAGTACGCCGGGGTCACGTATGTCTAACACGACGGAAGTCATCTCGTACGCTCACCTCTTTGATCAGTGTACTCAGGACTGGTATGCAGTTACGTCAATTCTCGAAGATCTTCTAAAGCAGCTGAAAGTCAAGAATCCTTTGCTGCAGAAAGTCCATCTAAGGTCAGATGAAGCCGGTTGCTATCACAACAGCTCCCGAGTAACCGCTGTGAGAGATGTCGCAAAAGGAGTTGGGGTTGAAATTCATAGTTATCACTACTCGGAGCCGCAGTCTGGTAAAGACATTTGCGATCGTATCCTCTATCCAATGAAGTCCTCTTGGACATGAGAGATGCATTGACGCAACACCCAGTGAAAGGAACAACAGCTGAAGTGAGCATAGTCGACGAATCAGAGAACACTCTCCGTATAAATAAGATTGAGCATTTCAGTTAGTAGCTTCCACAACAGTGGCTGACAAAGAGCCAAGTTCAGAGCTTTTTCTCCCGGCTAACAGCAATGCGACGAAAACATCAGGGTGTGATCGGGATATCGCTGGATGAGGAGGAAGATGTCCAATGCGTCGAGGAAAATTCCGAGAGACAAGATCTGGACGACAAAGTTAACAAAGAGATCAAAGTCTCACATCCAATCTGCTACGACACCTATATGATCTCTGTGAACGTTACCACAGTAACACACTTCAGAAATTCAATATGGTTTTGTTGAGAGCCATCTGTGGTCATTTTGAGATCCCTGTAAAATTGAGAGACAAAAAGCAGATCCTCATAGACAGACTGTCGGACGTGATTAGTGATTGTCAATGTGTTTCTCAGTAGACTTATGTAAACAATGTCTTATACGGTGGCTGAAAGTGTAGAATATGCTCTACAGATACAATCTACCTTTAGTTCCGATATCAAGTTCTGACGGCGTTGTTATAGTGTAATATATTATAATATCTAGTAGTCAGTGAAATGTTTTGATGAAAACGATAGAAAATTTACCAAAAGCAACACTTATAAAATCTGTCCATACGAAGCATGTGTCAAAGTTTTCATCACGTTGGTAGCCGATTTCTTCGGCTATTGACAGGTTGCTGATCTGTGGACACAATCGACGCGGAACAGAGAGAAGCAAGCTCAGGATATTTGAAATTGATTTATTAATTATATAATATGATCAAACTCCAGGTAAAAAGCATTTATTCTTTTCATCCAAAATTTTTCTCCCCAATTATTACATCGGGGTGTAAATTGGTATACAAAACAAAACCATAAGGCACAACGTACGGCACAAGCTATCAGCGGTCTTCTCTTTTGTGCGGACCTTTGTGAGAACAGTATAACATCGAACTGGATCATCGTGATCTAAATTTAAGTGATTATTTCTTCACTTCAGAAGCCTAAAACCTTCATTTTCCTCTAAGCTTCCAGACATGGAGAATTTACATTCTGACTCTGGAAAAAATTCAGCTCTTTAGCGATGTTAAATGGGTGATTCACCGCGAAATGTGGCCAATTCCGACATTGTTTTGATACCACGAATCACGATGGATGCCGCCTACTTTTCGAAGGCAATACCTTGCTATTTGTTGAGGTCACCAATCTGGTTATTAGAAAAATTCTGAAGTGAGCCATGAAGCCGGGCTGCAAAGCGGGTAAGCTGTATTTATGACGAAATCTGCCCCAGTGGTTCGATTTTGGTGTAGGCGAAAAAATCGCGAATGCTCGTACATGCGCTGATTTAAACGGTCATAACTTTTGAAAAATCGAAAACGTACAGGGGTTTTTGCATATTTTTGCCTATAAAGGGGTAAAATCAACGGTTGTGCAGGATAGAGTCGTCAACCAGGTCCCAAATCCCAAAACTTAACGTCTAAATCAAGGTTATTTACGGCCATCGGTCTATGGCGATTTCTAGTGGTTAGAGTATGCTAAAATTTGCCTTTTCAGATATAGTTAGAGGGCAAATTTTAACTTTCTTGGCAAACTAGAAAGGTTTTTAAGCAATCTGATATAAATTTTGTGGCTTAACTATGCGAATCAAATATTTTACAAAGTTCAGAATATGCCTATTTTTCAATTTCCGAGACGTTGCGACGGTCCCTACGGACTGGGAAATAATTATGGCCCATAGTGCGGTCAAAAAATTATTTCGAATCAAACCAAATCTAATTCAGATCTTTCCTAGGTAAAGTCTTTCTGTTGACAGAGTTTCAGGCAAAATTATTTTTGACGCGAAATTGACCGGGTGAAAATAAGAGAGACAGCCTCTTAAATAAGGAGCTCAATAAATTGAGAGTGAAACGAGACTTATCTGCAAGTTGAAGTTTGATGGGAATTCAGTTGAGTCATCATGAGTTGCTAGGGATCACATGAGATTGTGAAATTAACTTTGAAAGGCGAAAAAAATTACAAATTGGGTGGGTTTATTTCATACGCAAGTGAGGGTGGGCATGTGATCCCTAATACCTTAGGATGACTCATAAGAATTACCATCAGGCTTTAACTTCCGCCAAATTCTCATGTTCTTGGACTGGTTTTTAGTCATACTTTGCAAAGGTGCAGTGTCCTGACCAACCAGCAGTTCTGAGAATGGTATCAAGAAGTGCCTTAGCTTACCTTTCACACGGTAAAGATGCAATATTTCATAAGAGAGGGCGAGTGTTTCATCAGGGTTTCCAAACACGAGAAAGCTGATGAAAGCACGAGGCCGAAGGCCGAGTGTTTTTTTTGTTTTCGAGTGTTTGAAAATCCTGATGAAACATGAAGCTCGAGTTTATGAAATGGTTCTCAAAAGGGCCTACTTTATTAACAATAAACACAAAAACAGAACGTCCACGTAAATATTCAGTATTTGTGTTGTTTTGTTTCATTGTCGCTTGTGCATGGTTGTTAGTCAGTGTCATGAAAGATGTTGTGTTTTTTCACAACTTCGGCTTTTAATTGAGAGCAGTCACCCTTTGTATCGGCGTCCCATTTGCAATTTTGAGTGTTAAAGTGTCTAAACCACTTGAACCTTGCGCATCTAGTAGCGTAACGGAAATCACCAGTGAACTTTTGGAAGGTGAAAGCAGTGTACGTGGAATGTTAAATCAGTTAAATTCTGGAATGTTCTTGAATTACAATGTAAACGCAAATGTTAACTACAAAGAATGATTATCATAATCCTGGAAGTTAATAAACATTTGTTCAAGTACTGCATTATTTTGGGAATTGATTTCCAAACACACGTGTTTGGATATCCTAACACGTGTGTTTTATATCTAATCACGCGTGTCTGGATCTGTTCTTTACCGGGTATCAAGGGACGTCCGTGTGACCCAAATGAGGCCACACAATTAGTTAATTACCTCATGCAGTATTAATGACTTTGAGAAAACATGTTCGCTTACTCGTGAAATATTTTTAAAGACAAGAAGAC